TAACTAAAATGGCTCTGTGTGTATTTCAGACACTATCCGAAGACGTCATTCACCAGTGTTGCGGACACTCCGGAGAACCTGCGCCTGAAACAGCAAAGCAAGATGCAGAGCCAGGTACAACATGCCAATATTTGCTTTCTCTTATCATCCTATCTCCTTTTCTGGTGATTTCTGTTTTTTTTTGTGGCATAATAAATCATGCTCAAATAATGCATAAGTCAAGTCATAATCATCTCCCAGAGCTCCACCTGCCTCCACCTGAGGAAGAACCTGATGTTGAGCTATGTGGAACACAGATTCTGGTGTATCGTGACTTTTTAAAACACTAGAAAGTGCTATTTTTAGTAATAACTATTAGGTCAGATAAACTATTATACAAGCAACTATCATCATAACATCTCATTCCACTTTCTCAGCTTTTACTGATGTTGTTTTATTGACTGCATTAGTAAAGATAAACCATTAATGCTCATTATCTCTATTATACTCACAAAAAAGAAATATATTTATAATAGAAGGTTATAACTACAGAACAACATTTGTTCCCAAACTGGCCCAATTTTTACCTTTTATTTAATGTATTGCTAGCTTATTATAAAACCACATAAATCAGGGTTTTAAACTGTATTTAGACCCAAATAGATTTGAAAAAGTGATTAACCTCAAATAAAATGATTAGAAAATAAAACTGCTCATAATATTTAGATTTTGATCTTTTTTCTAAATGTTATTCACCTGTGTTCACTCACCAATTGTTGAAAATAAAAATGACATTATTTGTAAAAGGGCCTTTTTACATGGGGGGGAATGCCAAATATTGTTTTTTATGATTATCCATCAACTAATCTGCATTTATGTAATATAAGGGAGGGAAGTACACCTTTGACCCTACTTCAATTGAAATGAACAATTATGATTTAGTTTATATTTTCTATTGATTTCCGTGTGTTTGTATTGCAGGTGCTCTACAAGGAGGAATTTGAGAAGAACAAAGGAAGGGGCTTCAGTGCTGTGGCTGACACACCAGAGATGCAAAGAATCAAGAAAACGCAAGACCAAATCAGCAACGTAAGTCTAACTCTTAAACAATAAATTCAAAATCATCTACCAAAACTTTTTTTTTTTTGCCCTTTTTTCTGTTCATTTACTTTCTCCTGTGTATTATGCCTGATATTTACTTTTTGCTTTGCGCCTCAGCCTCCCAGCCTTTCTCTTCATGTCTCCAACAAACAGAACAAACAGTTTATCTATCATCCTAATCTCCTTTCATTGTTTATTAATGAATTAGCAAGAAGTCATAATTATTTGAGCTTGATGGAGCACTTCTTTAGTCCCACCCTTCGTTTTTCACACAACACCTGCTGAAGTATCTGTGCTGTTGCCTAGTAACATTTATGTCACCAACTTCCTTTTTGCAATGTCATTTCCTGTCAGTATGAAAGCGAGCAAGACGGCACTCTATTATCTGGCTCAGGAGACACCCTGTGGACGGTGCAGGAATTACTATTCATTTGTCACCTCCGCTCAGAATGAAGTTTAATTAAATTAAAACGTCTTGCTGAAACCACCACTTTACAAAATGAAGGACAGTTTTCTGAGTAGTTTAATTATAAGATAGCATGGCATCAGTGTTTCTCATGCATTCTATTTTTATTCTCCCTCGCTTCAATTTCCTGTAGTTATTTCTGCTTGAACCGTTTACCCAAAGTGCCCATTGCTGCAGAAGAAAACCGCATTGTGGTTGTCTTCATTGTTGCTCTTTGGATGCTTTTAGTACATGGTCAATGAAGTCATCATATACATATGATGAAATGTTCTTTTTTTATGAAAACAAAAGAATATATTATATATATATATATATATATATATATAATAGAATAATTTATAATATATATATATATATAGTGGTGTGTAGTGGTTTAAAATGAAACCACTACAAAGTCCTCACATTTTTTTATATAGCTATCTGTCACTTAAAATACATAAAAAAGTAAAATACTTACAATACATAAAAAAGAGAGACCAAATACAACTCTATTTTGTATTTTTACACTAACTCTTTATCATAAAAATCAAGAGGCAGGATTTCTCGCATAGACCAGTGTCATATACAATTATCATAACTGATCATATCCAATAATAGCTTGATGGAGGCATTACCTCCTATCGCATGACTTTCCCCCATTCATTCTCAATTAGAATTATCAGATTTTTAATTTTTCAGAACAAATTTATATTCCTTTTTATTTCTTCACAACAAATATATTTCTATTTTTTTCATTTGCAATAGTAACTGGAAAGTACGAAACTGTAATATAACTCCATTATTCATGTACACATTTTTTGTTGGAAATCAATGTCATGTGTTGCAGATGTTTCATAAAATTTTCAACCCAACTGCTTCCAAGACCTGCTTTTTATGACAAATAATTCTCGCAATTCTGACTGTGTTATTCGGCTAAATAATGTTACTTTGGTGACATTGAAGAATTCACAAACGTTTAGTACATCACTAAATGTCCGTTTGCGAGGGTTTGAGATCATGAACATAAAACATAGTGACAACATCATAGTTACTGTTCTTTCTTCCTGTTTTGACACATTGTATGTCTGTGTGTGTGTTTTAGATTAAATACCATGAGGACTTTGAGAAGAGCCGAATGGGAGGGGAAGGCCCACCACAGACACCTCAACAAATTACAACTCCAGGTACACAATATTTTGATTGTTGTCTGGATGATCATTGCAGTGTCAATTTCCTGTGAGCCATAAATTATGAAAATCTTTCTCTTGAAGCATATCAGCCCTCGGCAGCATCTAAGAACTATCACTATGAGCCTGAGCCCGTGCGTCAGGCCGCTGCCGCCCCTCCTCCCAGCTCTGGGGTAAAAAACTCTTAAAACTCTAACACACACTGTCCCACACGCTCTTTCTTTTCAAGTCCTTATGGTCCTCTTTGCATGTGTTGCAGAAGCGCTACCGAGCGGTGTACGACTACACCGCAGCTGATGAGGACGAGGTGTCGTTCCTGGACGGTGACCTGATCCTGGACGTTCAGCAGATCGACGAGGGTTGGATGTACGGAAGAGTGGAGCGCACTGGCCAGCAGGGGATGCTGCCTGCTAACTACGTAGAGGCCATCTGAACATGAGAGAGTGAAAGGATGAAAAGGTTGAAAAAAAAAAGAGAGGGGGGGTTGCGGCAGAGACGCAGATGATTAGCCGAGTGCCATCTCACCTTTCAAGATCTCATCTTTTTCCTCTTCTATTCCTGCACTAACTGTCCTATCAGGGGTCAGCCGCTGTGACCCGGTTATGATCCAAAACAAACATAGTTCAGTATGTAATCATACACCCCAGCAGCGCATACACGTACTTGCATAAATAGTGAATGATTTACTCCTTTCATCCATATCTTTCTCTCTGTATGCACCTCCCTGTCTATTGCTTTTGCTGTTTGTTTATCTTTTTTAATACGCGTTTCTGGAAAGGTGCTGTCACAAGTGGCACTTAAGTCTTAATAAGACTCGCGCGCGCACACACAAACCCACAAAATACATGACCACACAGGCCTCTAAAATATTTAGGGCCTGCCATAGAGCACTTCGTACACATCTCAACAAATTTATATTATCGGTTGCTATGACAATATGTGAAAGAATCTGGTCCGAACTTCATTTATGTTTTTTTTTTTCATATATATATATATATATATATATACATATATTTTTAATTGTTTCATATCTTGTTTGCAGTCTGAGTTTCACATCTCATTGACTGTGGTTCTGTAACAATGCTTGAATATAAGACTTCTGTCCATTCCAATCATTCCATGCGTCTGACCATTTGCATCAGGTGTTGAAACTGGATCTTAAGGGGCGAAGCCTTTTGCTACTTTCATGTTCACCTTGCTCAACAAGCTCCTTCACATTCCACTGGCCCTTTAGAAAATGAATTAGAATATATAAGCATACTTTTGTTCTGTTTGCTCCTGCTTTTAAAAATGACAAGGAAATAGTGATGTACTTAATAAAGGGAAAAAAAGAAACTATTTAGTCACTTAGCGAGCGAGGAGTGGAACAGCATCGTAGAATAGAAGCGAGGAGCCCAAGCACAATTCTATGGACCATTTTTGCTTTGGATTTTAATCATTCCATTGGTTTTGTTCCATTACGGTTTTGGGGTGTTCCATGTGCATAGTATGAAACTGTAAGACGTTGTTATTGATGTTTTTGTTAGTTTGATTTTTTTTTTTTTTTCCTCATATCATTGCTTATTCACATTGCCTTGCTGGTATTGTACGAGACGGAATTTTAATGTCAATTTATCAATATCAGTGGAATAAAAAAAATCTATTTGTATACCAAGGCAGGCGGGTTTGTCAAACGAAAAGAATTGTTAACGGTATTAGAATGTTTTAGAGCCTAGCATGTATAACTGGAAACTATGTTACTGTGCAAAGACTCTAATGAGATTCTACTGATCATTGTTCTCTAAAATGCCAAAATATAGATGCAGAGAATGATCAAAGTGTTTTGCTTTCACACTATTTCCACTATTGTAACTTCTGAGGTGCAATATCTGGGTTACTTTTTCCTCTTCTTGAAAACATATCCTCAGAACTTCTTCAATATTTAGTTTTGGTGTACTATCACCAATATCCCTCCATTTCATTGTAACACATTTTTAAACACCTTATTCTGCACATTATAACCAGCTGCATCACTTTTTTCAATGTAAGATACCATATACTAATATCTAATATGTACGCTACCATTCAAAGGTTTGAAGTGCGTAAGATTCTTCTAATGTTTTTGAAAGCCATCGTTTGCTCACTAAGGCTGCATTTATTTCATCAAAGTACAAAAGTACAGTAAAAAACTAAATATTGTGACTTTTCCAGGATATTCTTTGATGAATAGAACATTCAAAAGAACAGCATTTACTTAAAATAGGCTTTCTTGAAATAGAAATCTTTTGAAAAATTGTCTTTACCAACACTTTTGATCAAATGAATGCATCCTTACTGAGTAAAACTGTTATTTTCTTTCAAAAATAAATCTTACTGATCCCAAATTTTGAATGGTATTGTATAAATTGGATTTCTAAAACTCTTTCCCCTTTTTAAAAAAAAATTGTAGTCCATGCTTTTTTTTTGGTAAGATGAGACATAAAGGGATACAACAAGATATACTAAAAATATCCAAATCAGAATGTTGATCAGAATCAGAATAATGCTTTTTCTTTCACTTAAACCCTTTTCTTTTTTTCACCATCTCTTTATTCCAACACATGCTTTCCTATCTTAAATCTAACAAAGTTTAGCTAAAGTTGAATTGTTTTACTTCTTTTACACACTGGTGGAAAATCTATGACAGTATAACACATCACTGTTAGTAATGGTCAGTATTGAATGACAAATCACCCAGAAATAGACAGGAAGGATATTGAAAAGGAACTAAAAGGTAGAAAATGTGTGAGAAGAAAAATAAACCCACAAAAACCTTGTGAGTATGTATAAATGCTTGCTTCCTCTCCTGATTAAAAAACGTAGTGTTTTCTTATCACCTAGTTAACTTCCCTTTTCGTACAGACTAGTTTGATCCTGATAATCAAATGTTGCACTCATCAATAGAGGATGCACATGATAAACTCCCCGTTCAGCACTCGGCCCTTGTTATTGCCTGCTGTATCTTTCTAGAAGGGAGGACAGTATTATAGTGATCAGCTGGCGGGGAGGGTCTCAAGACCACAGCGGTCCAACATCCCTCATCGCCGCCTGATCATCATCCGCTTCTGCTCTGCAAACATCATGCTGGACATCTTGATATTGATGTTCTTCGCCATCATCGGCCTCATGTTCCTGTCCTACATCATCTACATGCTGTGATCGCCATGGCATCCATGAGAGCGGATGCCGGATTCACGTCCTCGGGGGTATTTGAACACAAAGGTTGGCGATGAATTTGAGATAATTGTGTTTTTATAGCTGTCCTTGATAATATTGGGTTGACGGACCAAATCGTTTTAAGGCAGGTTGTGGTGGTTAGAAATTAGGACTAATTTTAAAATGTAGCTGGATATTAAAATTGTAATTGTAAAAAAAAAAATGAAATAAGCTCTATAGATAATGAATATTAGCTACTAGGCCTCGCTATAAACGCTATGCGCTGTATTTTGTTGCAGCTTACAGGAAGAAGCGCTGTGTTTGTGGGATCATGTCTCTGGATCCTGAGATGAGGAACAGCTGTAACGAGAATTCAGTGGAGGACGCAGCAGGATACACTTACAAGATGAGACTTCACACTTCCTTCTCATCTCTCTGTCATACAAACACTTTTCCTACAGGATAGCACCTAACACACACACACACACACACACACACAAACCTACACCAGACTGCTGTGTTCCTCCTACCTTTTATTTAGAAGACACTATTCAAATATATTTTCCTAAAGGCGCAGTCCATGGCAGAAACAGTAGGCTAACGTTACCACAAACTCTAAAATATATGGCTGTCTGGCTATTATTTGTGTCCTATTCTTCTGTCTATTATTTCTGCACATGTCTATCTGAAAACAAATGCATGTATTTTATGCCAATGGATGCTCAAAAATGACCAATTGATTTTCAGAATAAAGAGCCTTTGTGAGGATGAAACGGCCTAAATTGTGTAGAATTGTTTGTGTTATGAAATAGATGGTCAAACAGTCTACGGAATTATTATTATTATTACGGAATTATTATTATTATTATGAGTCATTTTTTACATTACTGATTATATCTTTATATTTGCTTAAGTAAACGGTCAGTGTATGGCGAGGGGGTATAGCTCAGTGGTAGAGCATTTGACTGCAGATCAAGAGGTCCCCGGTTCAAATCCGGGTGCCCCCTAGGGTTGTTTTGAGAAAATACATTTATGTAATAAAACTGTATAACTGCAAATATAACACGATCATGCCGCGCTCATTAGACCAGGTGAAACGAAATTGAAGACATATTTAAACTTAGATCAAGTGATTTGTGCTGAATACAGATCACCAACAGAGTGCAGCACCGGACACCAGATGAACGAGTGCCACGTAGACAAAGGCACGAAATATGAAGAATTACAGCGACATCAATTAAATCATCAAACCAGCATTCTCAGTCATCGTGGTCATCTTAAATCATCTTCCCCCGGTTTCACAGACCAGGCTTTAGCTAGTCCTAGATTTAAATGTTTGAGTTATTTTGCGACTTACTCGAACAGATGATCTTAAAATATGTCAGTACCATTGTTTTGTCTTAATATGCACACCAGTTGCCCTAATGTTTTTTTTTTTAGCACGTTTATAAAAGCAACTTAAATGCCCTTATTGAACTAAGGCTTAATCCTGGCTTAATCTAAGTCCTGTCTGTGAAATCCTTGTATAATATTGTATATTTAGATTTTCCTCAGTCAAACCAGATGCTCCTGAAGATTTGGACTTTTATATATTATATTTTCTAGTTTAATTATAATTATCTATATTTTGTACCATTTCATTTAATTAGTTTATTAAGTGTTCCGTCGTGTCATGATTAATGTGTTTATTGAATGGCTAATGTTTCTGTTTCTATTAAAGTCAATGAGAAAAGTATGACGAAATTAAGTCCAAGCAGTTCATTGCATAAAGCATTGACTCTTGAACAATAGAATCATGAGGTATTAATATTTATAGATAGGTATTATCTACTGTCTATGGGTATTATAGATTGAAAATATTGCCCAGAAACATACATTTTCCCACTAAGCACATGGCAAAAAGAAACTAATGTATTTTCATTTAAGCAGTTTCACGTATTATTCAATATTCTCTATCTGAAGTGGTTTTATTGTAACTACAGCTGTTTAAAATGTTGGTAATAAAATCTCAGGTGACTGTCATCAGCAGCCATCAAGCATATCAGAGTGGAACTTTTAGTATTTTGGTTCTCATCAAAAATCAGAAAAGGGAAGCTCTCTCTCTCTCTCACACACACACACACACACACACACACACACATTTCAGAGCCGTTCATCTAATAAAGCAGTTTTTAATATTACAGGAGTCTGCACATGTCTGTGCCCTAAAATGAGTAACAAAGTTACTTCCTCTCTGGACTCTCCAGCTCCAAGCCTAGAAGTCATGAGACAAAGCACATGACAATGTACACCTCATAGCTACACGTCCACAGGATATGCTAAAATAATGTTACTTCAACATTTCATTGACATTTAAATGTTTTAGTAAACATTTTTTCTTCATTAATGGGGGTCTTCAAATAGCTGTAGTAAATTCATTCAGAAAACTGGATTGATTGGATCAATTGGATTGATTCATTTTTTAACAGAATAGCATGTTGTATCCTGCAGTTTCACAGCCTTGTTATTAAAAATGTTTAATACCATAAAATATTTGATCTTATCCATATAATGTGTGGCTAACATCTGGTGGTTATGGAAGATTTAAACAAGTTCAACCAGATAAACAACTGGTTTACAGGCTTATATTCCTTCTATTATCTGGGTTTGCATTCACATCAAAGTGGAAGCCTGCAATGGAATATACCAAAAATGCCTTTAAAATAGGGGTGTTGTTCAAATGACAGAATCACCGAATGCTCACACTAAATTACTAATGAGCATTGAATTCTACTAAAACGCTGAAAGTCCTCTCTGCGATCCCGTGATAGTCAGTCATTTCAAAATCCTAAAAAGAAACGCATTGCGTATTCATAAGTCATCCCCAGAGAAGCGGAAATGGACCCTGCACTTATGGTTGATCATGTGACACTCTCCATTTCGCCATTTTCTTCCTCTCCACCGGCGATCAGCGTCCTGTTGGATTCGTGACCATCCTCTCCTGCTTTTACAAGACCTGTCAACCTAGAATAGATCTTCTTTGGAACCCTAACCTCCTAGACTGAAGCCTTCTTCCCCTTCTGTCTTTAGTTTTAGTGTCCTGAACGCGCCAGAAGAATGTCTGCCTCGAGCCCCGAGTACTCACCCTTCTTCGCAGTGATGGGTGCCTCAGCAGCAATGGTGTTCAGTGGTAAGATACACGTCATTTCAACCTTAAATTCAGTGAATGCTTTATTAAATAAAAACCCAGAGTAAACGTGATAATGGATCGGGTGTCTGTGAACGGGGCAGACCGGTGGTGTTGCGGCTCGCTGAGCCGTGTACCTGTAGTAGGGGAAGGGATGCGAAGGTTTCCATCACGGCACATGACGTCTCTCTTGACGTAATATCTATAAATTATTTATTTCGTTTCATTCCTTCATTTGTCACGGTTCACCGAGGAAAACCTAAGAAGCTTTCTTTTCGGACGAGCAGAGGCTCCTGTTTTAATGTTTGCGCAAGGACGTCATTTAATTAATGTCCTTAAAACATATAACGTTATGGTTGGAAGACACGAACGATTTTTGTTATTCTAATAATCTTTTTATCTTTATCTCGTATATTGTGTATATATTGTTCTAGACTGTAACAGTAGCGTCGTTTTTGTGTCATATTGATTTTTTTTCCAAGCCAAGGCGAAATGCATTACTTAATTAACATGAACCGTTTTGCTCTTATCTAATGCGATAAGTTAGTACTTTTTAAAACACGAACTACACGCCCAGACAAAAACGTCCTTGTCAGTTTAACTCTTTATCTCAGTCAGAGCCACACTTATTTTCTGTATTCAAACGACAGCCATTACTCTATTAGTATTTGACATTATTTTCAGTCAGCACACCATGCCTAAATCCCGGAATGATCCAAATAAATTTGAACCACCTCATCTGCTTCCTACAAACCAAGGGAACTCGCTGCTGTAGTCAGTCATGTGACTAAAAGCTACAACAGTTGGCCACTGTTTTGCTGACCTGGCCTTTTAAAACCTTAAAGCAAGACAACACATGTAATGAAAAATGTAACTGATAAATATCACCATACTTCCCCAGCTGATTAGTCACTACATTACAACATTAACTGGTTTTGTATTCCAGGTTTTCTGTAATGTTGTTTAAACGCACAAATGCTATCAAACAACAAAATATGATCTTTTTTAAATATGCATGGATTTGTATACATTTCCAAAACAGAAATCTGAACATTGGACAAAAATCAAGAAAAAAATATTAAAGTTCTTGTATAGAAAGTTATTTTGTATATATTTTTGTATCACTACATACATCAGAAAATATTGCCAGCGGCCAGCAAAAAATTACCATGTTTTTAGGAATGACATATGTAAATCATGCTAATGATATATGAACAGTCACCTCTGAAAAAAACTTCAGAATATAGATAGAAATAAATCCAGAAAGTTTAGTAAGTGCTACTAAAGTGGAGAATTCTGGCTCAGTGCATGATTTAAGAAAAAAAAAAACCTTTTTAGAAAACTGCCTATATATATATTGTAATTGAAATCTACAGACGTAAATTGATAATGTGTGTAATAAAACAAATCCTTAAGTGTGAGTTTCCTTTGCACTAAAAGACGGCATGTTATGGAAGCAAAATAGCTCCTAATCTCAACATTTACTAGTGCATAAAATCAATGGTTCTGCTTGTGCTGTATTTCCTTAAAACAGTTCCGTATTCATGGAACAGCTGGTGTGTATTCAGAGGTTGATATTTCAGACACATGTGTTGGAATGGTGTTCATTAGTTGGGTATTTACTCAAACCCACGACTTTGCCTTGTCCTGTATTCATTGAACTTTAACCCATCATAAGTACTTGTTCTTCACTCTCTTTGTCTCCTTGCACGCGTTAATTCTCCTCTTTTCTCTTTTTAGCATTGGGTGCTGCATATGGGACAGCCAAGAGTGGCACGGGCATTGCTGCCATGTCAGTGATGCGACCGGAGCTGATCATGAAGTCCATCATTCCCGTGGTCATGGCGGGTATCATTGCCATTTACGGCCTGGTGGTGGCTGTACTCATTGCCAACAACATCTCTCCCAATGTCTCCCTCTACAAGTGAGTCACACACCTCACGTGTGTCTGATTTTTCTACAAGCCCCTGTCAGCTTCCTCAGAAAGGCTGAGTTGGCATTTAAATAGCTGTCTATAATATCTGTTTATATGATAGTAATAATCTAGATATAACCCTATATTAGAATTGATAGGCAATGAGGGTATATAAACAATTAAAGAGGTTATTACAGTTTGTGTAGGCCTACATGAGCAGTAAGGGTATTGTTCTCAATCCATCCATTTATTTGGTTGTAATGGAAAAATCCCAATGACTGTCAACATTTTATCTTCATAATGTTTGACAAATAAAAAATATTGTTACAAAAAAAGATTTAATCCTTTTATTAGAATTGATAGTGAGTGTATAATACCGATAGACACGATTAACCAGTACCAGACTATCATCTGTAGCTTGGGTACGCTCGGGTGATATTCCTGTGCTATGCAGTCACGAAAGTATTTGGTTTATGTGCCATTGCAGTTTAAAAACAAGTGATTTTAAACTGTTGAAGCGTAGTAAACAGCGCAAGTTAACTCATTTCGCTATATGCACATGAAGCCATGCAAGTACTGTGTTCTTTTGGCAGCCTAATTGGAATCCAATGGAAGTATCCTCATAAACAGTAATTTATGTCTTAAGTGAATGTAAACAGTTATGTAACAGTATATTGGATCATGTATTCGCTCTTAA